CTACAGCGATACCAGTAATTTATTTCATTTTCAGTTTTGGCCGGAGTTTAGGCTGGAGATGACATCAGGGCACAAGGTTGCTTGACAAATAGCCAACCCGCTTAATGCCCGTTCAGAAGCTGGTCGTAGCATTTGACCGTCTTGAACACCCGCAGCCACGACACGCAGGCAATTGAGGAAGCGATGTGTGCTGCTGCATCTACTAATTTCCCATTCACAAAATATTTAAAAAAGCCTTAATTGATTTGGTAACACTTCTTTAAATGTCTCCCATGTAAGTGGCTGGGTTTCCAATGCATTTTCACATAAGAACACATACCGTATTTACACGAATATAAGTGACCCATTTTTCAATTTTTTAAAGTCTAAAGGGGGGGTCGACTTATAGTAAAAACACAGCATTCCACTGCCGACAAAGATGAAATAATCGCAATATCAAGAACCCCCCAGCTTGTTACTACAGGTTTTCCCGCTCATTTTATTCCAAACAACGACCAATTTAATCTAGGGGTCACTCAATTTAATCCAAGCGCCATTGAATTTAGTCCAAGCGCCACACAATTTAATCCCGGGGTCAGTCAATTTAATCCAAAATATATATATGCACTTATTGTGTTCACTGGTCGTGTTTTGCTTACACATTTGGTAACTTAGAACAATTCTTTATACAATTAGAATTTTTGGCGGGCAATTGATGATTTGATCACTAATGTGATTACTTTGAGTTACTAGTCCCACTATTGACAAGGCTTAATTGATATGTTAGTTACTCTTTTTAGAGCACAGCTTTTAAGCACCCCTTTCCGGCTTGAGCACCCCGTCGGCGTAACCACGCGGTGCATGATGGGTAAATTGCCCCACTAAATTTAGCAGCAAAAGTTTCCCGCTAAATTTAGCGGAAAATTTTTTCTGCTAAATTTAGCGGAAAATTTTACTAGCTAGATTAAGCGGAAAATTTGCCGCGCTAAGTCTAGCGGAAAATTTTCCCCGCTAAATGTAGCGGAAAATTTTTCCCGCAAAATTTAGCGGAAAACATTCCTAGCTAGATGTAGCGCAAAATTCGCCCCGCTGTCTAGCGGAAAATTTTCGCCGCTTTATCTAGCGGAAAATTTTTCCCGCTAAATTTAGTGAAAATGTTTTCCCGCTATATTTAGCAGAAAATTTTCCCCGCTAAATCTAGCAAAAAATTTTCTCAGTTAGGCTCAGCGGAAATGTTGCCCCGCTAAGTTTAGCGGAAAATTTTCCGCGTTAAATGTAGCGTCAAATTTACTCTGCTAAATATAGCAGAAAAATTTTTCCACTAGATCTAGCGGGAAATTTTTCCCACTAAATTTAGCGGAAATATTTTCTCACTAAATTTAGCGGAACCCTAAATCTAGCGGGAAATTTTCCCCGCTATGTTTAGCGGGAAATTTTCCCCGCTATATTTAGCGGGAAATTTTCCCCACTATGTTTAGCAGAACATTTCCCCCGTTCAATCTAGCGCAAAATTTTCCCCGCTAAATTTAGCGGGAATATTTCCTCGCTAAATTTAGCGGAAACTTTTCCCCGCTAAATCTAGCGGATAAGTTTCCCCTCTAAGTTTAGCGGAAAATTTTCCCCGCTAAATTTAGCGAAAAATTTTCTCCGCTAAATCTAGCGGAAAAGTTTCCCCGCTAAATCTAGAAAAAATATTTTCCCCGCTAAATCTCGCGGAAAATCTTCCTAGCTAGATTGGGCGGAAAATTTTTCCCGCTAATTCTAGCATAAAATTTACTCCGTTAAATTTAGCGGAAACATTTTTCTTCTAAATCTAGCGGAAAAGTTTCCCCTCTAAGTTTAGCGGAAAATTTCCCCGCTAAATCTAGCGGAAATTTTTCCCAGCTAGATTTAGCGGAAAATTTGCCTCGTTGTCTGGCGATAAATTTCCCCGCCAAATCTAGCGGAAAACTTTCCCTGTTTAATTTAGCGAAAAATTTGCCCCGCTATATTAGCAGAAACTTTTTCCCACTAAATTTAGCGGAAAACTTAATTGCATTATAAAAGTTTTCCGCTAGATTTAGCGGCGAAACTTTTCCGCTAAATGTAGCGAGGAAATATTTTTGCTAGATTTTTGTGTTTTTTTTTTTTCCTGTTTTTGCTGCTTTATATAACAATGTTTTCCAGCATGTAACCCACTTTTTTGTTTGTTCCTTCATATAATGTTTCTTCAGCAGTTACTCCCACCTTGTGTAATGCCAGCAATGGCCTTCAAGGCTTTAATAAATTATGATGATGCTTTGGCGGGAAAAATTTTCTGCTAGATTTAGCAGGAAATTTTTCTGCTAAATTTAGCGGAGTAAATTTTACGCTATATTTAGCACGGAAAATTTTCCACTAGACTTAGCGGGACAACATTTCCGCTGAATCTAGCTTAGAAAATTTTCCACTAGATTAAGCGGGGAAAATTTTCCGCTTAATATTGCAGAAAACATTTTTCGCTAAATTTGGCGGGAAAAATTTTACGCTAAATTTACCGGGGAAAATTTTCCGCTAGATGAAGCGACGAAAATTTTCTGCTAGACAGCCGGGCGAATTTTGCGCTCAATCTAGCTGGGAAGATTTACCGTTAGATTTAGCGGGGAAATTTTTCCGCTCGATTTAGCGGGGAAAATATTCTGCTAAATTTTGCGGGGAAAATTTTCCGCTAGATTTAGCGGGGAAAATTTTTCGTAAGACTTAGCGCGTCAAATTTTCTGCTTAATCTAGCTAGTAAAATTTTCCGCTAAATTTAGCGGGGAAAATTTTTTGCTATTCTGTGCACTCATTTTACAAATTATTTTTTTATTTGCACAAACAAAAATTAGTACTGATAGCAATTCCCAAATTAACCTGAATGTACGGCGGTGAACAGTGCCACTCTAGAGGCCGCTGGAACAGCCTCCTGGCCCACTCCCCGCGGCAAATTTTCGCAGTTTTTCGCACAATTCATGGTTCATCATTTGATAGAGTGTCGAGATCATGCTGAAGCGCTAACTACGTGTTTTTATACACAAACTCATGTTTACAAACAAACCGAAGCGCCCCTACCGGACGCCACCGGCGCCGCGCATGCCCGATGGGGGTGTGGGCAAGAAGCTCGCCGTCGCCCTTAAACAAACCATTGAAATGCGATGTTGTCTGCGTCGGTGTGAGCCCCCTGCTCGTTTTCGCGCTCGAATTGTTGATTCTACGTCTTCCTGGCGACGTCTGACTACTTGAGCGGTGTCGGCGAAATGATTGAGGCTCGTTACACCGCGAAACTTTGCGTGAATAATGTGACATGTGGCGGTTCATTTCACGTCGACGCCGCAGTATGTACGCTAAAACCTGATTCGCATGATGAGATTTCACTCACAATTTTCAATCGCGACGCCGCTCGGGCTGCAAAAGCGTGAACCGTAGCTGAGATGGTCGACGTCGATACTGAAAATTGCAAGCAGAATCGGACCAAGTCAATTAGGCATAGCAAGTTAGTGGTAACAACGATCAACATCTTCTTGTATTTACTGTTTACATCGAGCCTGCTTACCAACCTTCAAACGTAAGTCTTTTGAGGCCTGCACTTACTTCTTATCGCAAGTATATCTTCAAATTTATCCCTGTATGTGTTTATTCTTAAGAATCCTGGCCGGAGCCTCCTAGCTAAGCTAGAATCCTAGCTCTGAAATTATCGCCTTGCCAAGGTGTGCCCGCAGTTACCAGACTGATTTTCAGCCAAAATGTGGCTGCCCATAATATGCGTAGACCAAGGAGGCCAGACAAGCTAGAAAAGTGTCCTCGGATGACAAACCTAAAGCACATCATAACATAAGGAGAGAAGGAAAGCTTACACATTTTGCTGGAAAGCCCCAATAAATTGAGCCATTGCTCGATGCCGAGGTCTTATGCCTTTTGCATATTGCACAACCAACAGCAGATAGTAAAGAAACCATTGGTCAACTAATGTCTTAACTAAGCTTTTTTTATCACTAGTGAACCCCCTGTGTCCGTTATGAGACAAACCTGCATGAATTTACCCAGTTCTCAAAACTAGCTGTCCACACCCTGCACTGTGGGTTTTAATATTATTGAGGCAGAGCTTGCATAGGGAGGGATTGGTCCCCCAAGATTGTCTATATGGTAGGGCATCCATATTAGCGAGGCATGACTGCATCGCATCTTGAAATTTTTTTACTGATTACTTGAAAGAAATCTTTTGACCTGACCCACCACTGTTGAACAGTCATCAATTCAGAAACATATCTAACAATTTTCAGAAATATTGTTTTTGTTCGACTCTCTGAATAATGAGGTATCCAGCCTCCAAAAAGTATTGAGATCGAGATTCAGAATTCATATGTATTGTGGTAAAAAGATTTTCTTGTGAAAAAACAGAAGATTCTTAGAAATCAGAAAAACTTTCCAAAATGAGAAGATATGCCGCTCAAATTGTTTCCTTTCTACCCGAAAACTGCCAATCAAGAATGACTGGCTTGAGTAGTGCGTACTCTCCTTATAGTCACATACCATTTTTTATGTATGGTTTAGAAACAATCACCAAAGATAATCAGTCATGGGTCATCGAAGGCATACACTCAATACTAAAAATCGACAAATATGATACTCATTTTTTGTGGCATTTAAAAAACGAAATATGTTGGTTGCATAAAAAGCTGCACAGCCACATGACTTTTGGTAACTTTCTCCTCTGTGTTCATCCTCTCCAGTCCAATTTTGGTTTTCAGCAGTTGCATATTTTTACTTGATTAAAATTTGTGACGCTGAAGCAAAATATTGATTGGGTAGTCTTCTGACACCAGAATGGATTACCTTGCAAAAAATGAATAGAAAAAGATTTGTGAGCTGGTAATGGTGCCAGTTGAACTTCCGTGATTTGAATATCAAAGTGCAGCAGAACTACAGCTGCGGCAAAATTGCATTAATAACCAAGTTTTTCCAAAATGAGTGACTGTCTTGATTTTGCTTTTATTGTATTGCAATACAATTGTCTTTTCTCCTAGGTGATCGAGCAACGTTGTTGGGGGAGACCAACTACCCACTAAAAGTCACTGAGGACATCTGGTTTGGATGCTGTTCCTGCACCTATGTCACCAGAGATCAGCATGAAATAGTGAGCCACCTGGCTGCCCATGGTGAACAATCCAAGTGCGAGCATCCTACCATGTCTGGCTCTAAGTCCCAAGTGCTCATCAACACTCAAAAGCACAAGATTGAAAAGCCATTTAAGTGCAAGCTTTGCCCCCAAGAGTTTCTTTATAATTCCCTTCTAACCCGTCATAATCGAACACATACTGGTGAAAAGCCATTTAAGTGCAAGAAGTGCCCCCTAACCTTTGCTAAAACTTCCAATTTGAGAAAGCATAATCAAACACACACTGATGAAAAGCCATGTAAGTGCAAGCTGTGCCTCCGAGCCTTTGCCCAAAATTCCAGTTTGAGAATACATAATCAAACACACACTCATGAAAAGCCTTTTAAGTGCAAGCAGTGCCCCCAGGCCTTTTCTCATAACTGCCAACTAATAAATCATAATCGAATGCACACTGGTGAAAAGCCATTTAAGTGCAAGAAGTGCTCCCAAACCTTTGCTCAAAACTCAAGTCTACAAAGGCATAATCATTTGCACACTGGTGAAAAGTCATTTAAGTGCAAGCAATGCCCCAAAGCCTTTGCTCGAAATTCCGATCTGCAAAAACATAATCGAACACACACAGGTGAAAAGCCATTTAAGTGCAAGCAGTGCCCCCGAGCCTTTGCTCAAAATGTCCATCTGAGAAATCATAATCGAACACACACTGGTGAAAAGCCATTTAAGTGCAAGAAATGCCCCCAAGCATTTGCTCGAAATTCCCATCTACAAAGGCATAATCATTTACATACTGGTGAAAAGCCATTCAAATGCAAACAGTGCCCAAAGGCCTTTGCTGAAGATTCCGATCTGCGAAACCATAATCGAACACACACGGGTGAAAAGCCATTTAAGTGCAACCAGTGCTCTAAAGCCTTTGCTCAGACTTCTTATCTAAGAAAGCATAATCAAATACACACTGACAAAAAGCCATTTAAGTGCAAGCAGTGCCCCAAAGCCTTTGCTCAAAATTCCTATCTGAGAAGCCATAATCGAACCCACACAGGTGGAAACCCATTTAAGTGCAAATAGGGCCCCTAATCTTTTTCTCATAATAGCAGTCTGATCCATCATCAAAGTGTTTAAAAACCTTACAACTGCAAACAAGGCCCCAAAAGCTTTGCTCAGAATAGGGGCTTACCCCCTTAACAATATGCACAAGTTTGGAATGCCCTGTGGTTGACTCGTAGGTTCAGCCTGCCCCGTGTGCAATCACTTAACTCATGCAGTACTTTATGCCTTTTGAATCGAAGTATTAATATACCTGAGTGCAACATAGGTCCCGAAGGCTTTGCTCGGATTAATAGTTAAGCTTGCCACACTGAAGCCCTTATGCCCGGTAAGCCTCACAAATACCAGCAGCGTCCCAGGCGGTTTTATAAATGGTCTTGCCTCATCGGGCACATGCTAACACGAGGTTAACAAACCTCAAAGGCATTCTCGTAAAGCCTGAAGCAAGTAGGCCTTCAAAATTCCAGCTTACGGTCAGACCTGATTATTTCAAACCCGGTTAATTCAAATTGTCCCTTGTATGAAACTTATTTCTGAACAGACACTCGTAGCTGCAATGAAAATGCACACCGAAAAATGCAGTTACATTGAATGGAACTTGCAGTGCCTCCCGATAGATTGAACTGCAGAGAGCGCTGTTTTGTTCTGCAAGCTGGCTTTCCCCCAAGGTGGGCATTCGCGGTGGTGTAAAGCCAGCTTGCAGAGCAAACTGACTTTTTTTTTTTTTTTGAGCAGCCGCGTAGACCCTTTGGAACAAAAAAAGTCTCTTTGTGAAGAGAGCGTGGAGAGTGTAAGATCTCAAAAAACAAAAAAGCGGGCACTGAATAACCACGTGGCGCATTCCTCCCAACATAGAGATGTTCCTTCGAGGGTAAAGAACTTTTCTAAATATGGCGTGCTTCTTTCTTGTCAAATTCATTACAACTTTTATATTGAATTGCCCGCTATATCGAACTGGTAGACAGTTTGAAGCGAGTTCCATACGAACGGGTTTGACTTATCCGAAAAGCTTGAATCGGAATTCCAGCTTGGTTGGCCACATAGACTGTGCACACAGAACCAGACTATTTGACTTTCCTCTGGAGCCTCCCGTCTAAATGCCACCGTTTGTCATCACACTAATGTATTGGGGAGTAGTCAATGATTCTTTTCTAGCTGTGATCTAGAGGCTAGGTCAATGAATAGGAGACATAGTTTAATTTTTCTCAGGGCAGCTACTTTGTGTTCTGCACCTGAATGTACATTCAGTCATACTCTACCTCTTGTTCCAAGCTTCCTTTAGCTTGCTCGAGGTGCGCTCCTTAAAACGAGGCCTAATATGCTTGTAAAATGTTTCTATCATTTTCTCTTGATACTACTCCTACCTATGAGAAAGATGCAATTTTAACAAAAGTTAAGTGTGACCAAAATTCAATCTTGCTTATATAAAAAAAATGTTTGCGGTTTAAATTTTTACATTTTTCTTTCAGCTGCTATGGATTTTGGTACTGAAGTAATGGCTTCTTTACACCCTTGCGACTGCTTATGACCGAAGAGGCTAAAAACCGGTTTTTAAGCCTCTTGTGAGGGCTTACGACTCTTTGCCATGCTTTGCAGCCGGTCGTGAGCAATCACAAGAGGCATAAGAGCCGGTCTTATTTCAGTCGGTCGTAGTGAAACGCAAGTGTGGGAACTTAAGTAGTGAGGACTAACTTTTCCCAAGATTTTTTTTTTTTGACATCCTGCAGCGTGTTAAGACCTCATTCTAGCAGTTTCCTCAGTGGGAAACTAATTGCAGAGTCTGTGTATGCACCGCAACGCTTTCTGCTACCGGTTGGGACGTTGCTAGTTGAATCCCTCGCACTGCCCAGCAGCTTTTGCTCTAAATTGGTACTGTACCCATTTTGAATGCTCTGTAATGCCGCTCCGGGACTGCATTGAAGAAAGTTGACGAAAATTTGAAACTAATACTCCAAGTGTTTTCGCCTTCCTTTGCACTGGCATCTTCACAGTCAAATATTTATCTGATACCTGCTTTGAGATATTACTTTCTCTGTTGTTTAGGTGTTCCCAGTAATTTCTTGCTTCGTGTTCATGTTCCTGGCAGTTGTTTCTGTGTTGCCTGGCTGTCTGCATCAAAATTTTCAGATCATAGGTGTCCTTATATGCTGGAAAATTCCTTTTGCTTGTTTTTGTGTAACAGAGGTTAGTAGTTTTGTTTTTCTGCTCCACTGACGGCTAACATTCTTAAATTTTTTATTAGAATGAGGAGGGTCGGTGAAGCCAAGTCTCAATGAATACTAACTCAGCCTAGAACTTGCTTTGGTTGCAGGGTCCTTTGGATTGTTGCTCAATGTGTGTTTATTTTTGCATTATGTAATTAATTTGAAAGCATATCTTTATTGTGGTGATTTTTTTTTTCTTTTTACGTTTATGTCGTTTGGCTCGAACAAAATCAGCGGATGATAAATATGTATTCAGACTTTTGCTTCTCCGTTTCTCAGAAATAAAGGTCTACAATCAAGTTTCCGCCGTGTTGTTATCTTTTTCGTCTGCCATTGCATACCTTAGCTGAAGCAAATGTGCCATGGGGCAGAGTAGCTCTTTAGAAAGTTCCGACTTTGCCATCCTGCTCGATAGTGGGATATTGCTGTAGCTGTTAAGAAAATGGCAGCTTCGGGTGTCAGTTCTGACATTAGCCCAATTTTTGACCTCCACAGGGTGCATGTATGAGGTGACATATGTTTTGCGTACGGCTGTTTAATGCATGTGAAGACATCGTGCAGCAGTCTCAAATAGTATGAAAAAGAGACTTGGGAGTTTAGGAGAACTTTGAAGTTATTGTATTGGGCTGATACTCCTCAGCACAGGCATCTTCCTAAATACAAATTGTTAAACGACAGTTCTTTCATTTCAGCCATCACTATCTTTCACTTACGTGACCGGAATATTTTGTTGCACTACAGTGAAACCCGTTTAGAACGAACCGACGTACAGCGAATTATTGTTGATATCGAACTCGCGGAAAATACAAATAAAAATGCATGTAAAAAGTACTTTCTATAACGGACAACATATTGGCTATATCAAACTTTTCTCCCCCGAGAAGGCTTTTAAAAACGTGCAAACAATTGTCCTCTAGACTATCCCATCCTCTCCAAAAGGAAAGAAAGAAAATTCCAAAAGCTCAAGCTGCAAACAAAATCGACAAACAGAAGCAATTCAGAAGGGGAGAAAGTTACAAAAAACACTGCACGCACGCACAGAAAAAAAAAACTTATTCCCAAAGCGGCTGCCTACGAAGAAAAGTTATTCAGAAGGGGAGATAAGCTAAAAGAACAAACTTTGCACTCATGCAAAAAGAAAAAAAAAAAAGAACTTTCATCAGCCTTTCCACTCTGGTGAAGAAGAAAGAGGATTGGAGCTGTAGCTTCTGTTCTCGGCGGTGGCTTTCCAGGCGTGCAATCTGCTGTTCTTTGGCAAGGGAATCTGAAGCGCTCGATGCAGCGTAATTTTAGGCGATAGCGGCCTCGCGGCGGTTGCGAAACCATTTGCACTGCTGTGCATATCGCCGCTCGTTCCCTTTCCGGTCTTTTTCCAAAGAAATGTTGCCGCCATCTATGAGCGACGGCGTCAAGCAGACAACCGGCAAACGCAACACTCTGGACAGCTACCGCCATCTTTGAGCGACGACGGCAACCAGAGTGTTGCTTTTTCTTGATGTATCTTCCTCCTATCTAGGAGGAAGATACAAACTTTCCATAGTTAATGTATGACCAGAATTTAATCTTGCTTTTTTAAAAATATATATATATGTTGGCAGTTTTAACTTTTACAGTGTTGTTTCTTTAAGCTGCTGCAGATTTTGGTACTAAAGTAACGGCTCGTTCACACCCTTGCAACCGCTCACGACCGGAGAAGCTAAAAACCGGTTTTTAAGCCTCTTGTGAGGGCTAACGAATTTCTGCATTGCCGTGCAGCCTGTCGTGAGCAGTCGCAAGAGGCTTAAAAACCGGTCTCAGTTGGTTGTAGTCAAACGCAACTGTGTGGACGGACCTGAAGTAGTGTAAAGTAACTTTTTCTTAGATTTTTCTTTTAACGTCCTGTACCGTGGTAAGACCTCATTCTAACAGTTTCCTCGGTGGACAACTAACTGTCGAGTTTATGTATACAACGCAACGCTTCCTGCTAGTACCAGTTGAGACATCGAATCCCTTGCACTGCCCAGCAGCTTTTGCTATAAATTGGCACTGCGCCCATTTTGAATACAGTGTAATGCCCCTTCAGGACTAAATTGACGAAAGTTGCGGATAATTTGGAACTGACTAACATGTTCATACTCGGTGTTTTGCCTTCCTTCTTTTCACCAACATCTTCGCAATTATGTACTTTTATTACATCTGCTTTGAGATGTCACCTCTGGTGTTTAGCTGTTCCCTGTATTTCCTTGCTTCGTGTTCATGTTCCTGGCAGTTGTTTCTGTGTTGCCTGGCTGTGTGCATCAAAATTTTCAGATCATAGGTGTCCTTATATGCTGGAAAATTCCTTTTGCTTGTCTTTGTGTAACAGAGGTTAGTAGTTTTGTTTTTCTGCTTCACTGACGGCTAACGTTCTTTTATCTTTAATTAGAATAAGAAGGGTCGGTGAAGTCAAGTCTCAATGAATACTAACTATCCCATGAATTTGCTTTGGTTACAGGGTCCTGTGAATTGTTGCTCAATGCGTGCTTATTTTTGCATTGTGTAATTAATTTCAAAGTTTATTGCAATGATTTTTTTTCTTTTTAATTTTATGTTTGGCTTGAACAAGATCTGCGGATGATAAATATGTAGAGGTGTCCAAATATAAAAATCTTTCGAAGCAAATCGAATTGAATAATAAAGGTTATTAATTGAATTGGATCAAATATTTTTAATACAAATAGCTTCAAATATGAATATTTAAAAAAAATATTTTCTATTTAATGTGAATTAAACAGTACTCAATCAAAACACAACTAGGTCTTTTTTTTAGCAAACACTAAGTAAAAGGTCAAATTTATATTAATATTAAAGGGACACTGACAGGGTATTTATGCTCGCCGAGCTTTTTAGTTGTACGTGACATATGAGAGCTCAACTACCCAGAACAGAATTTGCGGCTCGAAATTCGGTTTCTTTCCGCCCGAAAACCGCCGATCAAGAACTGGCCGGTTCGAGTCTCGCTCACTCTCTTTTCCGCGGTCACGGGCCGTTTTCTAAGGTATCGATGCGACCACCAAATTTAATCAAAGTCGTGGGTCACTGAAGGCACACACTCAATATTAAAAATAAAAAAAAATATGAAACCCATTTTTTGTGGCTTCTAAAAAGCTGCAAATACGTTGATTGAAAAAAAAGTTTCACAGACAACCGGAAGCATTCGGTGCGTGCGTCGTTTCGCGTATCGTGGGACTCGCAGGGACGCGATGGCAGCGGACGACGGGCGTGGGACCTCTATTTCACAACTGTCGTTCGTGGTACCGGAGAATTTTGTCTGTTTTTAAAAGAGAAATTTGGGACTGATCAAAAGAATTGGTCTTCATCCCGTACGACACGCCCGACCACCAAGCCGATTTGCACGAAGACGTCGCCGAGCCGTCGCTCCCTTCTCGTGGCTGAAGACATCGCTCGCGCAAACGTAAAGCACGACGTGTCTACTTCGAGTTGAATATGCATGCGTACGATTTCTTTACAAGGTGAGAATGTCGCCAATCCCGACTTCGACCCGGGAGTGCTTTTGCTAAAGGAAAATCGGTACGACCGAGAGAGACAAGACCAGTTTTTAAGCCTCTTACGATCTCTTAGGACCAGCTCCGCTGCATCACATCCGGACGTCCGCTTTACACGCCGTAGGATCGGGTTCAATCCCCCGTAGAACCTTTTTTTTTTTTTTTTCATATGTTTTTTGATGTCTACTTTTCTTTTCTTTTTTTAAAATTATCACTGAAGAAACAAAAAAAAAAGAAACAAATGTGGTGGACGTGGGATTTCCTTTTTGACACCAGTGTTGCCAGATGGTCCCACCAAAAAACCGCCAAACGGCTGGGAGGTATAGCCCAAATATAGCCAAAGCCATAAAATAAATATAGCCCAAAATAGCCTAGACTAAAAACAACCATTTTTAAGCCTTTTATTGACAATTTTTCATACGCGTAAAAACAACACGTTACATTCCATTTTTCAACCCTCAGATGCGCCAGTTTCTGTGTACATTAAGTCCCCTAATAAAAAAAAAAAAAAAAAAAATGAAAAAAAAAGTTTCAGAAGGATGAAAGTTTGTGAAACAATGACCCATCCTTCGTAGGTTTTCAGAAGTAGAAAACATACATGGACAGCTGTATTGTGAAGCCCGGGAGATATGATCATACACTAAAAGAACAGAATGCAGAAGCACAACACTCAGAACAAGAATATGAGCATCCCCCGTTCTGGTTCACGCTATTTTTGATTGTGTTTCTTTTCTCAAAGTGGGCGATGCCTAAGCATTTTTACTATGAGCACCAAAGCTGCGCTTGGAGAGTTCAGTCTAAGTCCGGGTAAAAGACGCGCTACCGGGCCTGTGGTAATAGTGCAATATGTTTGTTTGACTTGTTCCTTTGCGCTGTGGGGAGACCGCTTGAACTCTGCTAGCACGTGCTTCTCTGCGCATTGTGAAAACCCCGAAGTTTGTAGAAGTTTGAAGCCATTATCCTTCCTCTCTCTCCTCTCGACTAGCCAAAAGAGAAACAATTTTTTTCTCGAAACTGATTAGAAGTTCGAAAATTAACTAGTCGAACCTCAAAGTTCGACGTCGAACCTGAGGTTCGACAAGAGTTCGCCGCACCCTTAGGAATAGCCCAAAAATAGCCACATAGCCAACCACGAAATTTTGACGCCAATTAGAAAAAAATGTAGCCCAATTTGGCTATATATAGCCCAATCTGGCAACACTGTTTGACACCTGCGAACTTAATGTAATCACTTTCCACAAGACTCCAGCGACCTATAGACCTTTTCCATAGGGGCGCCACCACCAAACAAACATGGCGGCTGAGTCCAGGTCGCGTCGGCTCGGCCGGGCCGCCTGAACAGGTGGCGCGTTCAATTTAACAGATTTTCTTTTGTTTAATGTCCAATTTTATAGGTATTTGAACTGAGACGGTTAAGTGTAGCCGGTGAACATAAACTTGAAAAGCATGGTTTTGTTTTCCCGGTGTTTTTTGTTATTTACATGTCAAACTTTCGTTTCGGAGATTTCGTCCAAAACCGAAACTATGGGCTCCGGAGAGACGGTAATACACTAATCAGTTTTGATCTTCCAAGGAAATAGGCAATGACTACAGAATTCTTCCACCGAGAGTAATATTCAGCTAACTCGCATGCCTCGACCTCTCGACTTCTCTGTCCGCGAAATCGAGCTTTTGTGCGTATCCGCGTTTAAGAAACAGCTCCTGTCGTCTGCTCGGTCAACAACACAGGCTGCAGTAAAATTACGAACATTAAGCAAGCGCTTCTTGAGCCAAGGAGC